TCTAGTCTAAATTTGAAGAACTTTTCAAGTAAAAATATCCGGTTAGGCAAAGAGGTTTCAGTATACAGTTCATCTAATTTATTCCAAAGAACTTTAGCACTTTCTAAAATTCCAACTTTTCTAATCACAGAGTCAGATAAGTTCAAATAAATCACAGAACATGCATTTTCATTCATTTCAGCCCTTTTCTCTTCTGTGTCAGAAATTAAATAGGTTTCACCAACTGCTTTAAAACATTTTTGTTGTATTAAAATACATTTAATTTTTTGCTTCCAAATGCTAAAATCAGATTTTCCATTAAATGGAGCCATACCATACTGATTATAAGCAGACATTTTCACAGAGAAAAAAATAAGCAACAAAAGAAAAATGTAAATTTTGCTGAAAAACAATTTAAATATTTATAAGGCTATCAATATACGAAGCAACTAGCACGAACACGTGGGGAGTATTAATGAGCACCAAACTCAACTTCAAACCCCTTGTTCTTCCGTATAAGCACAAATAAATAATAAATTTCCAGTACACAACAATACAACAATTCAAACAATTTTAACAGCAGTAATAAACCTAAAATAGATTTCTACACAAATAAAAGATTAAATCACTACAAAAGCGATAAAAGGGATAAAAGTAAATATACCGGAGCGAAACCCTAGGAGAGGCGTTTCGACCTTACCCACCCAATTAAAAAATTGGGATTTTTCGGAGTTGATGAACTGTTGACTGCCTTTTGAGCAGCGTTGACCGAGCTTCCTTCTGCTCCAGGTGCGGCTCCAAATCCCAGCAACAAATAGGCAGTCCAACAGCCCAAAGCCCAAAGCCCAATAGCAGTCCAGGAGTTCCAGTAGCCCAGAAACCTTCGTCCCTGCCTCTGCTTTCCTTCTAGAGCGTCAAGCCTCCGTCCGGGTCCAAGCTCCAAGCCGATTCCAGCTTCTCAAGCCACAAGTTTCGCACCTTCGTCCTGCGCGTTGGGCTTCCAGATCCGGAACTCAGTGATGGGTTCAGATTCGGTGACGAATCTCAGGCAGACGATGGCTTCAGAGAATCCAGCGACGGGTGACTCCAGAGGCCGAACTTCCAGAAACTTCCAGCGATTTGCGAAGCACCTAGCTTCCAGGCGATCTCCCAGAGACCTCCACAGATGGCGAATCGACGGCAGCGACTTCGAATGACAGCGGACGGTGGCGGACGGCGGCGGACGGCGGCGGACGGCGGACGGCGGCGGAGGGCGGAATCTGGCTCTGATACCACTGTTGGGTGTGTATTTCAGCTCAGGTCTCCAACCAAAACAACTCACACACACCATCCCAAGATTGTTTAGCCACTCCACTCACCTTGTTTACCACTCCCTCACACTCTAACTCCACACAAAGGAAGGAAGAGGAGCTCACTGTATTGAACTCACCGTATCACTCAAAAGGGAAGAGGAGCACTCAATTATAGTAGGCTATTATTTGCTCATGGGTGTCAAAAGACAAACAAAGGTGGGGCTCGAGACAGGCTAGCAAAAGTCAGGAGGCCAAGAGACAAATAATACCAAGTCAATAAGAGTTGGCAAGGGATAGGAAAAGCCAGGCTAGCTAGATAAGTAACAGTGTAGGAAGTAGGAATAAACATAGGGTGCAGGCCTTAACATAATAAGCGGAAGGGAGGCCTTGGTAGGACCAATACCTCCAACACAGTTCATGCAGATCGAAAAATTGTTTGACAGCGAATTAGTCAAAGGTCTAGAATGTGTCATGTGTTTTTTTTTTGTTTTCATGCGTTACACACGACTGCTATTCAATTCTGGCTATTTCATCATAGTTCCATATGAAATTCCAACTGGTTTCCCTGAACTTATTTTAAGAATGTCTATGGGATATCTAAATATACCATTTTAGCCTAGCTTGAAGCTTTCATTGAAATGTTAATATGCTTTCAGGTTCTACAATGATAATGTGGTTTTAGGCTCTCAAGTAGTTAAAATGATAAATATTACCGTTTAAATGGGTTAATTTGATCTTTTTTAGATCCAGGGTGCAGTCAATTTCTTTTTGTGAAAGACATTTTATTTTAAAAATGAAAATAGCTACTCCTTCAGTTCCATTTTGTAAGATATCTATCTTATTTACTTGGCCAACACAAATCACTCTTAATCTTTTATTTATATACCAAATTTTAATCAAATTTGGTTCTGGTTTTTGCGACTTTGTAAAGCTTTTAATATAGTTTCTGAATATGTAATTTTTTTTCTAAAAGTAATTTGAGTGCGGATATGGATCCACTTGTTTTTAGGAGTGGGCACGGTCCGGTCCAATATTTGGCCGAACCCGTACCCATACCGTTACTATTCAAACGGTTCGGTTCGGTCTTAGACCTAAACCCGTTCGGTACGGTTTCATTTTGAAACGGGACGGTACCATGCCATACAAATATCAAACAATGCAATTTTTTCCAAGTGCTTAAGAGGAAATTAAAGTTTATTCATCCTCCAAAATGGACACAATTTATCAATTTTCATACTCATTTTATCCCAAATTGACATGCAAAGTCAATAATTTTTTTGTCAACCATGTTAAAGTTAAATTATCTTTATTGATAATTGATTTATTTTTTAATAATTAAAATAAACATATTCAGAAACTACATTGAAATCCCTTCAAGGTTGCAAGCTCCAAATTAAATATAATTAAAAAGTGACATTCTAGTTAAGTGAATAAAATGAAACTGTTTGACTAAGAAAAGTTAATTTTGCAAATCAATTTGAGATGAATGTAGTATTTTACATAATTAATAAATTTCAGATAAATTATAGTAGTACAAATATAAATAATTAAACCATACATCGGTCCGATTCCAGGCTTCCTATGAATTAGTAAAGACGGTGAAAGTGTGAAGACAGTAGTCAAAGTAAGGGTATAAATGTAAATTTAAATCATTGAATCATACTTCGGTCCGGTACCGGTTCTCATTTTACGAGAACCCGTCATTGCATTGTTTAGAATCGGTACGGTTCGGTTCGGGACAAAAAAATTGAGATCCGTTTCAAACCCCGTTTTTCGGTCCGGTACCATATCGGTTCGGTTCTGTACCATGCCGGTTCGGTATTTTTGCCTGCCCCTACTTGTTTTATTTTTGGTCAAACATCGTAAACTGTAAAGTATCTTACCATTCGGGATGGAGGGAATATTTATCATTCTTGCATATCCGATGTGTATAATTAAGTGGCGGGCCTTTCACTTAGCAAGTGTAAATGGTCCTGTATTGTTTCTGTCATTAACTTTTTTTAGTTCCTAACAAGTGCGAGTGTAAAAGTCAAATTCATTTCGAAGTAAAACTTCTTTAAAAAAAACTACAGTATTTGTACTCACTCTGATACCCACTTTTGTACACACCCTGTCTGTGAGGAGTTTTTCTTTTTGTCTGTGAATCCCGATCACAGCACAATATGTCTATGCAAATTATTTTGTCTGAGAATCGGATTCATAGACAAAAAGCACCTCACAGACATGATAAGTATAAGGTGAGTCTAAAAGTGTGTACAAGAAGAAGCTCTCAAATTCTTTAGAGCGAAGCTGGAAGCTGGTCTAGTTTTGGAGGTACAACTAACCATTCATAACTAATGAAATTGTGTACCTTGGTTTATTTGGCCAAAAAAACAAAATGTAGTGATAATGATACTTCATATTAAGACTCCTTTTCTAGGATGAAGTGTATTATTTATGTAAAATCAAATTATTATCTTTCTCTTGCAACTTGCAAGTGAATATTCCAAAGTCTAAGAAGAGAAGACCTTCTGCATGTCAAAGGAGTGCAAAAAGTATATCCTGCACAAGGAATCGCCAAGCCCGTCTTCCACACCTTGTGGAACAGCCCGAGTCCTCCCCTCATTGAGAATGGCTAACAAGAGAATTTGTGTGTGTACGACGGCACGCAAATAGAGAAAAAGAATTTTGTGTGGGGAAATAGGGCAGGCAACGCCTTGTGCTTCTCTAGTTGATCTCTTAATTGTAGATTTATGATCGATGCAGTAATCTTAATGTTAATTTTCAAAGATCCTTAGCTTGTCCTAAATGGATGTCCAACCTTTTTTGTTAGTGTCAGTTCAAAGATCCATGCTATATTTGCATAATGTATTAGTATTTGAACCACAAAATGACCATCAACATTGATATAGTTAGAGTTCTGCTGTGGGAAATATTCTATTCTATTGGAAACAACAATACCCGTGAAGTAAACATGTCCCAAGTTTTAACTTTATTATTTTATACTCCCTCTGTCCCAGAATTGTGTTCATACTTTCTTTTTTCGTCCGTCCCAAATTTATCTTCTCTTTCTCTTTTGACAAAGAATTTGTGGTTCACAACTATTCTTACACATTTCTCTCTCCTCTGCACAACTCTCCACCGCACATTTCCAACTATCTTAATTTGTATGCACATGTACTCGTGAAGATAATAAGTAAGGAAGTATAATAAGTAGGAAAATGCTAGGGGTACACAAGTTGTACACAACTTGTACACACAATGTCGGTCACAGACAATTGGTACGGAGTTGCCTGTGACCACAGACAAGAGTTGTCTGTGTACACAGACAAATTTTGTCTGTTTCCACAGACATTTACTTTTTTTTGTAAAGAGTACACTGAGAGCCGCCTGACACTGACAAGTACTTTTTACAAAAAAGTAAATGTCTGTGGAAACAGACAAAATTTGTCTGTGTACACAGACAACTCTTGTCTGTGGTCACAGACAATTCCGTACCAATTGTCTGTGACCGACATTGTGTGTACAAGTTGTGTACAACTTGTGTACCTCTAGCATTTTCCGAATAAGTATTCCCCACGTCCCAATATAAAGAACACATTTGCGTTTTCAAATATTTTTAGGAGGAATACCGTTTGACACTATTTAACACTCTTTTGAACTGTTTTGTTTGACAAAAAGAAAATATGTCTTTTATATTGGTACATCCTAAAAAGAAAATTGTACCTTTTGTATTCGGACAGAGTATAATACTTCCAGCCGTAGCCCTAATTCAGCATTGCTTCTCGTTTTCGCGAAAGCATTGAGGTCTCTGTATTTTTGGATTCCAGTCCCACCACATTTTCTGGGTTAGTTTTTTTCTTTCCTGTGATATTTTATCCTGGATTTATTTGGAAAGTATAGACATAACTATGGCATCCGTGTATTGCGAGTCATAATTTTGTTCTTCAAAATTTTCCCACTAATATACTTCGTATTAGAGTTACCAGATTGCCCGCTTCTAAAATACTTGCGCATGAAGTTTTTTGAAGTGTTCTATGGTATTGGAAGTGTTTCTATTGAAGTGTCTGTTTCAAGCTCACTGTTTTTGCCTTTGATTCTTTTTATAGTAGGATTGTTCGTTTGCTAAATAAGTACTTAGTCATATAATGCGATTGTATTTTTTATATTTTGATTAGTAAATAGTAATTCATAACATGAAGATGCTCCATTGCTTTACCACCCCTGTTTCTTTCAGTGAATTTAATGTATTTCTCTTCTTCAAAAAATGGCAGATAGATTCCTTCACGTAGGTGAAGGCAAATATTTACTCCGTATAATTTTTCCGGTCAAAAAAGTGACTCGTGGACAGTTCAGGGGAAAAAGAGTGGCATAAATGAAATTAAACGAAGTAGGAGGTTGATATGCATCTTTGGTTTAAAAGCCATCTCAGTCGCTAATCTAGAATTCTACAGCCATGGATCTCCGAAAACCAAAGAAGAGAAGTAACTGCCTCCTCTTAAAGCAGAAGAAAGAAGTAGCTGAAGATGAGCCCAAAAACAGATTTGGTTGTTTGCCGCCAGAAATCATCAAGGACATTCTTTCAAGGCTTCCCAGTGTCAAATCTATTTTTCAGGTGAGGTCTGTTTGTCATTTATGGGAACTCTGGTCTCATGATCCCCATGTTTTCCGTATGCATTTCTCTAGGAGTAGTAGTACAGGGTCTAAACTCATCTATTTCTACTCAATACCTGAAGGCGAACTCCACTTTGTTGAATTCTCTGATATTAATGAAAAAGGGTTGATTGCAAGTAAAATTAAAAATGCATTTGTTGATCTCACACCAAAATCATTTTCGGTGCTGGGCTCATGCAATGGCATCATGTTCTTAGAAGATCTACATAATTCGAAGTGGAAATGCCTATATAATCCTTTTACAAGGGACTATAAACTTGTACCCGAGCTGGACACTGAATATGAGTCGATGTCTTATTCATATTGGGCTGCATACCACCCAGTCACTGAAGAGTACAAAGTATTTGCTATACACACCACTTTCGATTTGGAGTGTAGATCAATAGCCTCTGTATACAATGTGAGTAAAAATGAGTGGACAAGGATAGGAGAGTTTCCGTTTGAAGTACGTCGGTCGGGAAATGAAGGAGGCTTGGTCAATGGGAGACTGCACTGGCTGACTGTTCAAAACAATGGGATATTGAGTCCTTTTCCTAATATAACATCGATAGACTTCGTGGATTATTCCGTCAAGGAGGTTCCCATGCCTGCGGAGGTTATATTTCGAAAAAGTAAGAGATCTCAACTTGTTGTTTTATGGGGATGTCTTTCTATTGGTGTAAGAAGAATTGATTCAAGAATGCATATTTGGGTGATGAAAACATACGGAGTGGAATCGTCTTGGGTGAAGCAGTATGTCTTTGGAAGCGAATTTCTTAAATTTGATCGCAATTGGAGGAGTCGTGGCGATGAAATGTTACAGATTGTATGCGTTCTTAACAATGAGGAAATCTTGCTGGCTTACAATAGATTTGGGGATGGAACTTTGATGTCATACAATTTTGTTACTAAAAGCTATAAGACTCTCACTTTTGGGGGAAGACCGTCAACAACAATGGTTAAAGCAATATGTGATACATGCTGCTGGTCAACGTAAGTGAGCATATCGCACTCACATTCACACACTGCTCCTGCTCCTTGAAAAGAAACATTTGTCATCTGCCTTTCATTCCGAATTGTGTAGCAGTTACTGTTAGAAAATAGAAGAGGTTGTTGGTGTATGAATATGTTAAGTGATTTTAGTGAGGTGTAGTGTAGAGGAGGTGTTTTAGAGTAGAGCTCTTGTCTCTAGAAAACTTGTAATTTTATTGATGTTGCTTGGTTTTGCTTGGTTGAGCAAATGAGTACAATGGATCATATTTATAGGTGCTAGAGGATCATTCTAGATCCTTATTAAATGTTAGGAATCTAGAGTATTCTACTTCTAATAACTCTAGACTCTACTTAAGAATTCTCTAGTAGAGAATTCTCTAGAACATTATTTCCATTAACTCTCTAGAACATTTCTAGCTTTAACTACATAGAATATTCTAGATAAATGCATCACTATTTAATAGTTACTACTATTTTTAGCATAAATATTTGTAGAAGCAAGCAGCTTAAAAGAATTCATTTTGGGAAATATCAAGTATGGCTGGCCGTACTATGCCCCAAATAATGTTCTTAATGTTATTGTGTGAAAGATCCTTGTTTTAATAAGGCCATCTCCAACAGTTTACACCATTTCTTACACTAAAATGGTGTAAACATCACATCAAATAGTATTTTATTTCCAACAGTTTACACCATTTTCATCACCAAAAAGGAATATTCTTTTTTTATTCTTTTTACTAACTTTTTACCATTCTTCTATTTAAGTATCTAATTATCATATATTTATACATTAGTCCCTCATTTAATATTTTGACATTTCACACATTATTTCACACATACAAACTAAAATACAAACTAATATTCTGTTATTATGTTGTTTGGATTTGAAACTTTATTTATAATATTGTGTGATTTAAATTTTATTATATTTTTTTCCATCAAATTAATAATTTAAATTTGTTGTTCTATAAGGATGTTTTTACTTGTACTGTAATTTGTCTCAGATCAGATCAGGCCGAATTAGACTAGACTTGGGTAGTTATAAAAATACAAAGAAATTAGACCAAGCCACATCAGTTCAGACCAGACCAGACCAAATCAGACCAAACCAGAGCAGACCAACAAATTTCAGTCCAAGTAAAAACATACTCATTTGTTGTTTTAAAAATGGGTCAAAACTATAACAATCAAAACTTTGGGTCGCATTTGAAATTAATAAAATTAAAAAAAGAGGATGGTGTGAGATATGGTGTACGCCATATTTGGTGTAAAGCAAAAGCTTCTCCTCCAAAATGGTGTAATGGTGTAGGGGATGGTGTGACTATTGGAGCAATTTTTTGCCAAATCCACCATTTTGGTGTAGGATTTGGTGCTTGTTGGAGTTGCTCTAAGATGTCAAATTTTTGTTGTCTGTTATTTTCAAATTTTTATACTACGTATAACTTATACTAGGTTTGTTCTTAGAGTGCTCCTATTTGTAGACATTATTTGTACACTTGATGTACACACTTCCTAGCTGCATGTGTACAGAGGCAGCTAGACGGCGTGTACAACTAACGTGTCCAAATGACATTTTCCTTGTTCTTAAATAATTGCAATTTATTAAAGGTTTAAATATGTTTTTAGTCCGTGCAAATATGACACACTTTGTTTTAGGTCCATACAAAATATTTTCATTGTTGTTCATCTCTGAAATTTATGTTGATTTTCTTTTTAGTCCATGAGACCATGACTAATGATAACAACCTCCATTTGACAATGAAGCAATCCTAACTAATAGGTATCCTTTAATTCTTTGTCATGCGATTCAAAAAGTATTTAATTTCATTTGTTATAAGGTTTTTAATACATATTTTAAAAATGTGAATAATTAGTTTTAATATTGATTTAACTCTCAAATTAGCCTCAAAAAAATTATTAAATGATAAATTTAAATGTTTCTAGTATATCTATGTTATCAACAATAAAAAAAATAAGTAGAGTTGTTTTCGGAGTTAGTGATATACTAAAACCAAAAGGGCGCATATTACAGGGATGAAAAACAAAGAAAATATTTTGCAGGGACTTGAAACAAAGTGTGACATATTTGTAGGGACTAAAACCATATTTAAACTTTATTAAAATAGATGCTACCGGCATGCTCAACTTTGATTACATGTTATTTATTAATGTATTAGAAATTTGATTTTTATAAAACCATTTTTGAATCCTTCATTTTATGAATTCAAAATTTGATTTTTTTCTAATAGGACTAGTAGAACACCCATGCGATACACGATCAATGAATAATCCCAAATAATTGGCCAAAAATTTAATTACGTAAATATGTACTCTTGACACAATTACGTAAAGTTGATCAAGATGAAAAATAAGTTTTTTAATAACAACTCAACATGTGACAATGTTTGTCTTTGACATAATTAAGTTATGTTTTGGTATCATGGCATTTGAAATTGAAACCTTTCATTAATACTCCCTCCACCCCCTTAATATTAGGATGGAAGAGAGTAATGTTGTTTTTAAGAAAAGTAGAATTATGTAGTTGATATTACTTAATAATGAGTTGATAAAGTGAGAATACAGTAAGAATGAATTAGAGTCATACTAATGTTACCAAATATGATATGAGACAATGATAGGAGGACATCCCAAAATGGAAAAGTTGGACAATTATAGGAGGGAGTATATTAATGTCTTGATGAATTCTCGGGGGATTACATCATCTGTTACAATCTTTCTGTCCAGCAAAATGTTTTGCTAATAATCAGCCGTGCAACCAATGATTTTGTCAAAAAAAATTCCATATTCAAAGGTATATATATATATAGTAGTCTTCATGTCAGGCCGGCTTGACGGGATGCTCCGTCCGGCCGAGGGCATTTCATCTCACATCAAGATCATTTTCGATGCTGAGCTCATCCCATGGCACCATGTTCTTATAAGATCATTGGAAGTGGCAATGCCTAAATAATCCTTTCACAAAGGACTATAAATTTGTACCAGAGCTGGACATTCAATATTACGTGATATCTTATTCCTATTGGGCTGCATGCCACCCAGTTACTGAAGAGTACAAAGTATTTGCTATGCACACTATTTTAGTTTTGGCCGAATTTCGGTCAATAGCTGATGTATATAGTGTGAGTAAAAATGAGTGGACAAGGTTAGGAGAGTTTCCTTTTAAAGTAGATCGGGCAGGAAATCAAGGAGTCATGGTCAATGGGAGACTCCACTGGCTGACTGTGCAAAACGGATGGAAATTGAGTCGTTGTCCTAATATAACTTCGATTGACTTCATGGATTATTCTGTCGAGGAGGTTCCCATGCCTGCACAGCTTATATTTCGAAGAAGTAAGGGATCTCAACTTGTTGTTGTAGGGGGGTGTCTTTCTATTGGCATAAGAAGATTTGATTCAAGGATGCATATTTGGGTGATGAAAACATACGGAATGGAATCGTCTTGGGTGAAGCAATATGTGTTTGGAAGCGAATTTCTTAATTTTGACCGCAATTGGAGGAGACGTGGCGAGGAATCGTTACGGATTTTATGTCTTCTTAAGAACGAGGAAATCTTGCTAGCTTACAATGCACGTGGGCAAGGAGCTTTGGTTTCTTAGAATTATGTTACTGAAAGTCATAAGACTCTTACTTTTGGGGGAATGCGGCCAACAACAATGTTTAGAGTAATTTGTGATACATGTTGTTGGTCAGCTTAAGTGAGCTTATTGCACTCACATTCAAATACTGCTCTCCTGCTCCTTCAAGAAACATTTGTCATCTGCTATTTCATTCCTAATTGCGTGCAGTCACCGTCTCCTCTGTTGGGCTCATATATTTGTAGAAGCAAGCACCTTAAAAGAATTCGTTTTGGGGAAATATCAAATATGGCTGACTGGAGGTCTGGACTATGCTCGGATGCTCCAAATAATGTTCTTAATGATATTGTTTGAAAGATTCTTGTTTTAAAAAGATGTCAAGTTTTTGCCGCCTATTTTTTTCTTTCAAATTTTCATATGTTGGGTTTGTTGTTAAATAATTGCAATGTACTGAACTAGTATCTTTACTCGTCCCGTGTACGAGATAAAATGATTTTGCGTTTTAGTTTTACTAACAAAATCACTTATTTATATCCCGTTTTTTAAACACACAGCTCAAGATCTACAGGAAATCTCAGAAGAACAAAAAGCGCCATAGCATGAAGACTAGGTCTCAGTCTAGGGATTTTCCTTGGGATTAGTTATTTTGCTTCCTTTATTTAATTTCATGTAATTTTTTCCTTTTCGTTTTGTACTATTTTCTTCATTCAATAAAATTCTATTTTCCTTAAAAAAAAGATATCCCGTTTTTTTCATTGATCGAACACGTAAGTTTTGATTTCGCACGCTAAATTGTGTAATACAGAGTAATAAAAAAAGTAAGGTTGAAATTACCTTTCTGGTTGTATTGGTGAAGTTATTGTAGAACACCATTTTAGCTAATTTTCACATAATTTTTCCTTTATTTTATTAATAAAGTATTTTAAATGTAATTTTTCATAAATCAGCAGAATCAGCCGATACAATTGATTTTGATACCACCAAATGGGCTCCTAGTCGATTATAACAATGGTTTAAAGGCGTATTCTAATTTATTGAGTATGATTTATATTTGAACTAATTCTAAACATGTTTCCGATCTATGTTTTCCAATGAAAAGAACAAATTATTTATAACTTTTTGTTGCATCCAATTCAAATTAATCTATTTTTACATAGATAAAAATGAAATTCTCAACGCCTATTTTTGTCCATTAAATTTCATATTTTGTCAATGCCTATTTTTATCCATTAAATTTAATTTGTGGCTTACTATTTTTTCAAAACTAACCACACTTTTGCAAATTATTTAGCTAAAAATGAGGTAGCCAATTTAAATGATTTAAAGTCTAGTAACGTCAAAACATGACAGTAATTAGTCCTATTTTAGGAAGAAAAATATGAAAGTAATATGGAAAAGTTTTTATCCCTATTTAGGGTAATTTTTCTTAAACTTAAGATCTCATTAATGTATTGTGTAATTTCATTATGCAATTAGGGAACATTTTATTTATTAACTGAAAGTGTCATTAAAGGCATGTTAAGTTCTAAAACATTTATTTAAAAACAACAATTCAAATTGAGTCAACAAAATAATTCAATTAAGACTTTCTTAAAAATAAAAAAACATAAAGGTGCTAGCAAGCATGGGAAAGTAGAAGCTTTGAGCCTAAGAACTTCCATCCATCCTATGTTCAAAAATCTTTTTATTTTTACATATGCAATAGTGTCATATG